GAGGAACACTATAAACTATACCTAACATCTACAGGACACCCCACCACCAACAGCAGAATACTGAGTCTCCTCAAATGCACCTGGGACATTCTCTAAGATTGACTATATGCTAGGCTGTAAACCAAGCCTCAGTTTAAGAAGACTGGAATCATACAAAATACGTTCTCCAAACACAGTGGAATGAAATTAGAAATCAATAACAGAAGGAACTCTGGAAAATTTATAAATATATGGAAATTAAAACACTCTTAAATAACCTGAGGGTCAAAGAAGAAATCACAGGGAAATTAGAAAATACTTTGAGATGAATGAAAGTGAAAACAGAATGGACCAAAACTTAGGGGATGCAGCGAAAACAAACAGAAAATCAGCTAAACTGAAAGTTGATTGATTTCAACAAAAATGTTGACTAATTTTAACAAAAGAATGACTGGCCAAGAAAATAAGAGTGAAGACATGTTACCAAAACCCCTACAGACCTTACTGCAGTAAGAGGAAACATAAGGGAATACAGTGAATAACTGGAGGGCAACACTGGGCAACTTGAATGAAATGGGAAAATTCTAGAAATACAGAAGCTACCAAAACTGACTCAGAAATAGAGTATCTAAACAGACCTGTAACAAGTGAAGAAATGGCATTCATAATTTTAAAACTTCCTACAAAGAAAAACCCAGGCCCCATTGGCTTCTCTGTGGAACTGACCAAATATTTAAAAAGGAATTAACACCAGTCCTTCACAAACACCTACAAAAAAGAGAGGCATTACTTCCCAACTCATTCTTTGAGGCCTGCATAACCCTAATACCAAACCAAAGACATTTGAAGGAAGCTACAGATGAATACTGTTAATGCATTTAGATGTAAATGTCTGCAACAAAATATTAGCAAACCGAATCCAGCAGTGTATAAAAAGGATGGTACACCATGGCCAAGTGGGATTTATCCCAGGAATGCACAGTTGGTTCAGAACATGAAAATCAATCAGTATAATAAACTGTATTAATAGAATAAAGGACAAAAACCACATGATCTCAGTAAAGCCAGAAAAGGTGCTATCAAAACCTGGCACCCTTTCATAATAAAAATACTCAGTAAGCAAGTCAGAGAAGGGACCTTTCTCATCCTGATAAAGGGCATCTACAGTAAACCCGTAATTAACATCATTCTTGATAGTAAAAGACTGAATACTTCTCCCTGAAGTCTAGCATAAAACAAGCACGTCTGCTCTGCCTGCTTCCATTTAACTGACAAGAATATTGCAAACCTTTTATGCCAGGCACTGAATCGGACATTTTATCTGCTTAAATTTTCCCCATAGCTCTGTGAGGTAGTTTCATGGAGAACACCTGCTGTGACTTGTCCATTCTGGTTATAACATTGATTTGTTTACTTATAATTTCAAATCCTTTAACTATCGGGTTCTTGTTTTTGTTTTGTTTTGTTTTTGCCATTTATAGCCTTCAGTTTGACCCAGCACCTCGTCGTGGAGAGCCTCACGTTACCCGGCGCACCCCAGACTACTTCCTATAAATTCCTCCTGGGAAAACCTGCCTTTGTATGTGGAAGTATACTGGCTTTTTAAATATCTATATGTATTTAGAGACGAAACAAGCAACAGTAACCTAAGTGTATCTGTAACAAATTGGGATGTCTTGGCATTAAACTATATCATGGACCAAAATGTGCCATACTAACTGGTGACGAGCACTTAGCACAGTGACGAGCATTGAGACTGAAATTTAGTACAGTGCTGGCTCAGTCAGTCTTAACAGTTTGCCTGCTGTATTTGTAGTAACCATTTTCCTCTGGACTATTCAAGCAAAAACGTAACTAACCCCTTCATCTCCTTTTGCACTCCTTCGGAAAGTTTAGTTTTAGTGTTTAACTGGCATGGACTAATAGAGTTGGAGTTTTATTTTTAAGAAAAATTCACAAGCTAACTTCCACTTAATCCATTACCCTTTATTTTATTGAAATGTATAATTAACTTAACTGAAGAAAAGATTCTTCTTGGGAGTATGTTGTCATAACATTTAAAGAGATTTCCCTTCATTTAAACTGAATTACTGTTTTGTGTTGGTCTGCATATTTCTGTATGTTTGTCACGACAGTGCTTGCATCCTATTTGGTGTGCTGAGCAAATAAACTCATTTTAAACAAAAACATTGATTGTGGTACACTTGAAAGTTTTATTTTGAAATTTGATATAAAATCTTGACTTGTGAATAGTTGTGCTGAGGTAATTTAATGTTCTTTGTATAGGGCTTATTTTCATATGGAAAAATTCAAATAGTACCTGGTGTCTTTTAGACCCTAAAAAAGCCATTTTTATTTCTGAACATTTCATTAGGCAATTTGTGTTAATGTATTCATGTTTTTAACTGTGGATTGTGTACTAAAACTGTAGAATGTTAGATAGCTGGGAAGGATGTTTTTATTTTTCCCTCCCTCTGTCCTCATGAGGGTATGGCTCTCACTGATTTCAGAGAGACAGGGAGGGGGAGAGAGCAAGAAACACCAACGTGAGAGAAAACATCAACCGGCTGCCTCCTGCACGTGTCCTGACCCCAGACCCCTGACGGGGGGATCGAACCTGCATCTCGGGCACGTGCCCCGACCAGGAATCAAACCCGCAACCCTTCAGAGTAAAAGCCCAAAGCTGCTGTACTTTTAGAACTTACTATTTTTAGGACATCAAAGTCAGCGAGCAGAACAAGGAACTGATTAAGGCTAGCTCTCTCCCCCGCCCCCTTATAAAGGGGAATGTCATATTTCTTTTACAGTTTCCTTCAGATAGGGATGGCTTTTATGCTGCTTTTTTTCTCCCTAAAATACCCCTTAGTGTTGCTGTCATTGTAGTAGAAGAATCTGAAATGACATGTTTTGATAGCAGGCAGCTATTGTGCTACGAAATTCAAATGAACACAGCTCCCACCTGAGTCAATGACAGAGTTTACTAAGTAGAGCAGGAACAGACGAAGAGTAATGAAACGAAGGGAAATTCTCTAAGGATATGCAGCTTGTGTGCTAGAGGTATATAGTTATACAGTGCACTCCTGAGCATTTGGACTGTGCTATTCTTAAATACTCAATTCTGAGTATTTTAAATACTCAATTCTTAGTATACTGAAGACGTAGGTCTTTAACATTTTTCAGTTTTACTCTTTCACTGAAGTATATTATTAAAAACAATAATAAGCTAAGTTAAAATAGGATTTAAGTTTGTTTTCCCTGGGGCTCTTTAAAAGCTATTTTAAATCAGTTTTATCACTTGACAGATTTACAGGTCTGCTCCTTTTTTATCTTAAGCCTGTTATCTTGAAACACTTTATGGTGGAAAATTATACAAAAATAGAAGAGTATAAGGTACCCCAGTGTACCTTTTACTTAGTGTTTTTTTGTTGTTGTTTTTTTAAATATATCTTTATTGATTTCAGAGAGAGGAAAGGAGAGGGAGAGAGATAGAAACATCAATGATGAGAGAGTCATTGATCGAGCCCACAACCCGGGCATGTGCCCTGACCGGGAATCGAACACCGATCGCCTGGATCCTAAGTCGATGCTCAACCGCTGAGCCACGCCCGGCTGGGCCCTTTTACTTAGTTTTAATGTTAGTTTGGTGGTGATGAACTCCTTTAGCTTTTTCTTGTCTGGGAGCTCTTTCTCAGGTCTTAACAAAGGATTTTACAGTTAAACTCTTGGCTTCATCTTTAGGCCATGCTTTCCTGAGAATGTACTCGATTTGTCTTTGCTCAGAAGCCATTTCTTTATTTTAGCATTGTTTTCCACCTCTAGAAGGGAATCTTCCAAACCAGTGAGCTCTGGTTCCTTTCGAAGCCCTTTAGCTTATCCGTTTCCTCACATTTTACTATGAGCAGCAAGAAACAGGTGGTATTTTCAGTGTTCTGTTTGGAAATACACTTAGCTAGATCACTCAACTCACTAGCTGCATTTTCCACTTCCCACATAACTGCCAGTGGTAGTGTTGCTATACTTCCTGCCACTATATAACGGGGGTTTTCATTCCTCCAGCTTCCAGTAATATTTACCTCACTTTCCTGCAAGTCCTCACCTGCAGACTTATGAGCTTTTATTGACAATTTCAAGGCACTTTAAACTTTTACCAACACTCTCCTCAAAGCCCACTGCCTGGTTCCAAAGCCACTCTCATATTTTAGGTCTTTTGTTATGGGTGCTACTCACAAGTTCTAAGTTTGTATGTTCCATATTGCTCCATAACATTAACTCAAAACCTAGCTGCTTAAAACATTTGTTATCTCCCATCATCAGGGTCAAGAATCTGGGAGCATCATAGCTAAGTGGTTCTGGCTTAGGGCTCTCATGAAGTTGCAGTCATGCTGTTGGCCAGAGCCGCAGTCTCTGGATTTAACCGGGGCTGGAGGTACAGCTCCAGGCTTCCTCATGTCTCTTGTCCACAGTTCCTTGCCACATGGCTTCCCCCTACCCCATGTTGGGTGAGTGAGTGACCCAAGAGCACCAAGAGAGAAGTCACTGTCTTATAATCTCAGCAGCAGCACACACAACCACTTCTGTGCATTTTATTGGTCACATAGACTAAGGTGTGACTACGAGGAGCCGGGGTCGTTGGGGGTCATCTTGGAGCCTGCTACCATACATCCTAAGTAGCATAATTACTTGGTAGCTTTCACAATAATCAGTTTTTCCAGAGTATCTAAAGTGTGGGGTCTTTTTTTTTTTCATCTGTGGTACATAAGCTTAGGAAAGTCTGGCAGGACATACAGGAAGCTAATGTTATTATTTCTGGGCATTGAGGTTATGGGGGGACTTTGCTTTTGTACTTTGTAAAGTTTTGAAACACTTTTATAATTTATAGTCAGAAAATTTTTTCACTTTTTATGTGGGATATTCCAGAGACGAAGTTAATGACTGACACAACTTACTCATTTTCAAACATGTATTCAGCCCCCCTACACTAGATACTTCTGGAGGGTAAAAAAGAAAGAAAGATACAATCCTTGCTTTTAAGGAATTATGTATTTGGGGAAACAAAACCATAGCTCTAATACAGTGTAATAAATTCTACATAAGAGGTATAAAGGAGCATTAACTAAAGGGCAACAAACCGAGGAGTCAAGCTGACTCTTACGACTGAGCACGAGAAAAGAAAAAGGGAGTGACTAGAACAAAGCTAACAGCCTTTTATACCATATTCTGTTTTTTAAAAAGTTGGCCCATCCACCCGAAACTCTGTAACTGTTACAATTGAATACAAGGCAAAATTACATAAATCTCAAACATTTGTTAAGTAAAGATTAATACATACCTATCAAAAAGAACTTTAAAGCTGTAAGGAGCTTTGAATATCCTTTTTAAAGTTTTTAATTTCTAGAAATAATAGCAGAATAAACATTCCTACTTATAAGACTATGAAGAGTTTCACTGAATTGTGAAATATAGTGTGATTATGATGGATTGAAGAAGCAGAAACCAAAGCCATATGGCTTTGTCTTTCAACATACTGATAAATGACATCAGCTAGGAAAGAAAACGAAACCATTGAGTGCCTTATTGGATGCATGTTTACCTAGTTCTCATTTGGTACATTATAAAATGGCACATTCTTAACATTAATATATGCAGAGAGAACTCCTTTCTTAATCCTTTACGTCCATATAGTCCAATGGAAAGCAGACTGAACTGCCTTGAGCTCAATCAAGGTACAGCATTTTAATATGAATCCTTGACTGTGTAAGGAAGGTCATGACAACTGATTTCATGTAGAACAGGCAGTTCTAGTTTCTAGTTGCTTGGCTCTCTTTCTTCTACATTGAGTACAGTATCCACAGTTATTCCTATGTCCCGCAGTGACCAGCCTCCCTCCACTTCCAGAGGCACTCTGGGAAAGGAAGTAGAAAGGCCGTATAGGGATGTGTGGTACCCAATTTTCACCATCCAATCAAATAAAACCTAAAAGATAAGAAACACAGTTGTCAGTACTGTACACACTTGTGTCCCTCAGGGTCACCATGGTATTTTACAGTTTGTGCATTATTAAACATGCCTCTAGGAATAGGACAGAACTTTTACACCTTTCATAGGAACTTTCTGGAGTGTAAAAAAAAATAGCGTGCCATGGATTCTGAGATGTGAACAACCTTTAATACATTCTGTTTAAGGCCTAGGGAGTGCTGGCACCCACAGTTACCAGAGGCATTTAACAAATAGCAAGGCCCCAACCATGGGGAAGGGAAAGGTTATTCAATAAAAGATTGAGAAAAGAGCAAGAAAAGACCAAAAAAGAAAGAGAAAAAGACCAAAAAGACTGAGAACAAAAGGTTAGCATTTGGGGACAAAATGATTTATATCATAATCTAAGCCACATCAAAAACATGCAGGAACTAATTAATGGCTAATGGGAACAAAGTTAAAACTGGCTGCTTTGAAAGCATCTTACCCACCAAGCTGTGAAAACGTAATTATAACCAAAAAAAACAACAAAAAATAAACAGGAAAAGGAAAAACGGAAAAAAATTTGCAGAAATCACAATTGAAAAGGACCCAGCATGCCTAACTACCTAAATCTCTGCGATGTGGACTGCATAGACATGGCCTTTGTCCTCAACATGGACTACACCAAGTGATAAGTACCAGACAACGGCGTGACTGACAGTACCTCTCCCGCTGCATGGGAATTATTGTCAAATTCATTAAAAATATTTCTTAAAGTATGAATTTCCTCACCTGTGAATTGCAAGACTTAAGAAACCTTCTCCTCAGGACGCTCCCACTTGGACACCGGAGAGCAATAGTAACCACCTGAGGAACAGAAACGTTCAGTTAAGAATTCCAATGCACTGCTCTATGCAATTGCAAAAGTATAACATGTGATTATAAAAGCTCACGTGGGGTTTGCGGACATTTATCTCTGAGAGAGTAGACCAACATAAAGGTCCCGATAAAATTCACTCTAAACAGAGGAATAATTCTCTGAAACTAAAAGACATCTTATTGAGATCAGTGGCAGAGCCTTCCAGAGAGGACACCAGAGACTAAACAATTCTGTCTGCCCAGATCACATGCAGATTGCAGTTGGGCTTCAAAAGTGACCTACCGAACCAAGGAGGTCCAGTGCCAACTCAGAGTCCACAGACAAAAGAAACACTAGATTTAAAGGAAACAAAAAGTCACCCATCCACTCATACTGTAGGCTGTGCACCAGGCCTGTGTCACCCAAGCGGATGAGAGACGAGCCTAGAGCTGGTCCTGGTTGCTGTGAGCTGAGACCTCCTGTCCTAGGAGCAGTCCTGCTTTATCTGCATTATGTATTGAGTTTCCCCATAATCTTCCCTTTGATAAAACTAAGTTAAACAACTAAAAGGAGCTTACAAACTGCTAGTCTATTAAAGGACATTCTAAAAAGAAAAGATAAGGAATTAGTCATTTCTTCTGATGCTCATTATTGACCTGTCAGGAAAGCCTTCCTTATGGTCTTATCACAGTAGCTATCCTGGGAGTCACGTGGGTGCCCCGGCATACAGAAACGGTGGCTCTACAGCAGCCTACCCCCTTCAGGAAAGCCGTGTTAGACAATATTTCCATTCAAATAGGTAAGGTATTTGACTCACATCCAAATCATTTAAAGAAATGTTTTATAATAAAGAAAACACAGAATAACTGAATCACAGACTAAAGGCCAATTTTGCTTATTTCTAGAAATAAAATTTAACTTTTTCAGTGATGTTAAGAGAATTAAACCCAAATACTTTATGAGAAACGGGTTAAAATACAGTGAATTAATGTTTTCCATTATGATTTGATGAAACTTGAGAGAAACGAACTATTATTGTTTGAAATATCGCAATTGTTCTGTTATTACAATTATCATGAAAGTTGGTCATGCAATTTCTCTTAATACTACTGACAGTGTAGTGCACTGAATTATGAATGGGTAAAAGGCCTGGGACACAATCCAAAATTAGAAAGTAAGTCACTGTCACAAACACAGATTGTTAAATGACATATAAATTAAAAGTAGTGGTAATAATTAAAATTTGGTTCCCAGGTACTCCATTACATGATGATTTATAAAATTATTTTCAAATTACCTTAAATTCTACAATTACTGTCTTTTCAACTTAAAAGTAGAACAGCAACATATGGTAAATAGACCACCATGAGTTATTCCCTCCCCTCATTTTTAAAGTCTTACTATATTATTTTAGGACTCTAAGGATAGCTGTAATAATAAACACATAACAGGCACTAAAACAATCAGGTTATACTACTTAAGAAAGAATTGCATTAATTATGTTTCACATCCCTCCCTCATCATAAATCCATGTTAGTCATTAGTTCCCTCATCTATTAGTTGGCTTGTAAATCCAAGCAGGCTTCTACCCTAACAGGAATTTTCTAACATGGCTCATTATCACAGAGCCACAGTTATCTGTAGAGAAATACATATCCATACAGTGAAAGCTTCACCTTGGTTCTGATAACCTTTACAGTGAATGTCAGGCCCTTTCCCTGGCAATACAGAGTTATCAAAATGTCCCTCTATTCTGTGGGTGACACCAGGCATTTAATGGGCATTTAACTTTAATAAGGAAATAGAGAATGTCTTGAAAATTATAATTTCTAGTATTCCTAAAAGTGAAATTACTTTTTACACATGTACTCATAAGAAAGTTATACATCTCAGGGATTAAAATATAGCTGTTATAACAGAGGCAGGCTTTACAGATGATGATATGTCATGATTATGTAATATATATAATGATTATAATACCAGAGCAAAACTGTTGACAAAATAGGAAATAGTATCTTTTCAGAAAGCCAGAAACAATATGACTGTATAACTTACAGAGACATTATTAGGTATCCTAAAATCTTGGGTAACTCCAGTATTTCTCATTCCCTACTCCAGGCATGTCGTCTTTACTTTGAAAATATTTTCTTAAGGTGGTAGATGGAGGGTGTGTTAAAAAGGCACACTCCCCAAAACAGAACACTTCCTTTTTGTTTTTAACTTTTATGATGATAATGACACTCCATGCTTACTATTTTCATTTTTCTGAAAAAGTCAGCTGCAATGGCAGGGAAAAGTCAGGCAGAAGTCCAGAGAGATATAGGCTGACTGCCCAGAAATGGTCATTAGATCAAGAGTACAATAAGATCTAGGTCAATGAGAACAGGAGAATTACTGAAAAGTGGAATGGGACATTTAAAGTCACCCAGGGAAATAAGACTAACAACTTATGACTGGTTGGTGGGAATTAGGAATCTTTGCATTGACTTCCCAGAAGTCTATGAGCAGTAGGAGTTATACAGATGGAAAATGCCCTGCCCAATGATGATTTTGGGAGAATCAAAATAGTCCAATATTTAGCTTTTCTTGATTAGTGTGGAATAGAATACACTGTAAAAGTATAAAGCAGTATCAGCTAACTATACATTAGTGGCATTCTTAATAAGATGTCACAATAAAAGTTGCATGTACCACCCTGGCTCAGTTGGTTGGGCGTCGTCCCATGCACTGGGGGGTTGCCAGTTGATTCCCTGTCAGGGCACATGCCTGGCTGCAGCCCGATCCCCGGTAGGGGTGTACAGGAGGCAGCCGATAGATGCTTCACTCCCACATTGATGTTTCTCTCTCCCCCTCTCCCTTCCTCTCTCTAAAAATCAATTTTAAAAATCTTTTTTAAAAAAGTTGCATGTACCAATTAATACAATATATATGGTGCATACATTTTTACATGTGATTCTTGGGTAATAATTACCATAATTTTGTTGACTTTATTAACCAAAAACAGAACAAAGACGACCAAAAATCAGAGCAGGGAGAAGAAAAGAGGGATAACATCGCTAACAGTAAGGCAGGAGTGCTGGCTACACCCAGAGGCCTGGTTTCTCCCAGCAGGTACCCTGGAACTCTTTCCACCACTGCTTCAGCTTCAAGTAGGGAGATGGAATGCTAGTTAGGCGCATTCAAGCTCTAAAATTCCATTACTCTGACATACACTTTAATGAGTATAACACAAAGTATCACCCAACAAGTATTGGGAAAGAGGAGAGGAGAAAACAAAATGGAATGACTGTAAGTAACTCACAGAGAGGAGGGCAACATCTACTGCCTCTGTGGCGGAGGTTTCTCAGCCTTTTTAGGGCCACAGATCTGAGATTGTGGGGAAAAAATACCGTCCTTTTCTTAAATAATTTTTTAAAATTGATTTTTAGAGAGAGGAAGGGGAGAGGGGGAGAGAAACATCAATATGAGAGAGAAACCGATCGGCTGCCCCCTGCACGTGCTCCCGAGTTGGGATCAAACCTGCAACTTGGGTATGTGCCCTGACCAGGAATCCCACCACCTTTTGGTGTACAGGACGGCACTCCAACCAACTGAGCCACACCAGCCAGGGCAAAAAACACTGTCCTTTTATGTATTATCACAAAAGGGTACAATTTAAAAGGATTCACTAACAGCCTGAGGTCTATAATCTATGCGCCTTTGGTGACAAACTGCTGTTCTGTAGAATAATGTCATGTATTTTAAAGTCAGAGTAAATTCATCAAAGGTTCCCTGTCAAACCTGAGCTATATTTAAATATTCCTGTATTATAAACTGTTGTCATGGATACCAACCCAGAGCTTGACAAGAAGTGAGAATGTAGAAGGGTCAGGAGAGCTGTATGATAGGAATGAATTTATCATGTATAATGGGGAGGAATCAGAAGGTTCTATGTTTTTAAACATTGTGTTTCTCCTGCATTACATACTTCATTATCTCTATTTTTGCAGGACTTTCAGATTTTCCTCTGACGTCCAAAGAACTAAAATGTTGCAAATGTGTTGACAAAAATGAGACAATTCCAATGGCTTTCTTGGCTGTCTCAAAAATGCTTTGTGAGGAGTATAACAGTCACTGAGCTCCAAGTAATTGAAAACCATCAGGGCTCTTCTCTGCCTAAATGACTTATGGCTTTAAAGATATGTGTTCCCGTGCATTGGAGTCGTGTCTAAAACTAAGCTGGGCAAGGGAAGGAAGGCAGCTTAGATTATAACAAAGCAACTGGGCAGAAAGCAGCTCAACACAGAAGTTCAGTCCAACCCTGCCCCCCCCCAACAGCAAACCATCCTTCCATTCAAACATCTAAAAAGTAACAGCATTCTTTGTTTTCTCTTTTTTAAGGGGAAAACTACAATTTGAAGTCATCTGCCTATTTTGATTCTATTTTAATAAGTAACTCATCTGCTGACCTGAAGTTTTGGAAAAGCCCATGCAGTCCTTTTTTTTAAATTGAATTTATTGGGGTGACATTAATTAATAAAATCATATAGGTTTCAGGTATACAATTCTATAGAAAAGTTGAGGTGCTTCATATTACACCGTATTCAAAACAAGACGGAATTACAGTGGAATCACAGAAACACTCATGCTATCTTTACTTTCAGAACCCAAATTTAGATAGGACACACTTGATGTTAAAGGAAATAGAAAATATATTTAATTTTCAAAAAAAGAAAATAAGCTTACTTCTTCAGCTGTTTCAGAAGGTTCTTCAGGTAAATCTGAAACCTAAAAAAAAAGTAAGTATTAGTAATAGGAATGTAAATATTTTAAAGAAACTAATAAGCTTAACAAGAATAGTTCAGATACATCTAAGCTGAAGGAAATCTCTTCATTTCCTATTTACTTATAAGTTTACAATGAGAATGAGAGCCCAATTAATAAACATTTTTGGGTAAGCAACTTTGTGCTAGCAAAAGATCATAAAAATAGGACTAGATGACAGCTACCAATCTATACACATTTAAAGAATTTTGTTTTTATGATGTTCCAAGATACTCTATAAAATGTACTATTTTAAAGGAACAGGATAAATATTAAGTTCAGTAAGACCCCAAAATTATTTAGGTGCGTACGTATATACATTTTAAGATGGGTGCATTTCCCTTCACTGGCGCTTCTACAGGATTGGTGAACAACCATTCACTTTGGTTGCTTTCATGATTTACTCAGTGTTTCCCTGTTTCTAACTCATCTCTTTAAAAACCTGATGTTCGGACCATTTTCTCTCCTTAAAATACTTGTTACCAACAATTTCACCTCTAGGGACACTTTTTATTTTTTAAAACCATAGGCTCCATATTTTATAACTTTATCTAACAAACACTAATTGCATTTATTAAATAAACTATTTGTTTTCCTTTGGTATCAAAAGCATGTGACAGTCCACTAAAATTTACCATAAGCATGAAATAATCCATTCTATTAACAAAAGCAAAAAATCTTGAATTTTTAATTAGTCCATACAGTGCATTAGATCTTTTGAAATGTTAGTAATAGTTCAATGACATGATTCTCACCCTCAAGCTCCGTTAGGGACCAGGAAACCTCAGACTGAGAAGCAGAACATTAGAAACCACTTTCAAGGATTGCATAGATAACCTCCCAGCTTTCCCTAAGAGTCAGTAAGAAGAGACTTCTTATTTCTAACCTTTGCTAGCTCCAAATTTAACCTAAGGATTAAAAATTTGGAAGAAAATAAAAAATAAAAAACCTGGGCACTGTTCCAAAGTGAATGGTCACTGACCCATTCCCTAGAAGGGCTACTGAGGAAAATGACACACTCATGTTAATATTAGCCACTCACTAAATATGGCTTAACCATGTCTTAGGTACCCACAGGGATGTTTCCTCAGTAAACATTATATTTTTTATTTCTACATAATCAAGTTACTTCCTCAAAAAGAACTAAGTATTTTTAAACCTATTGTCATTTATCTTCATAGCTTCCTTCTAAGTTTGGTTCAGAACACTAATATTAAGCAGGAAAAGTGGCTCTTAATGACAGCAATCACTTTGTGAGGTAGTGGGAAGACATCATCTGGATTAAAAGCTAGTCCTCTGCTCAGTATATAACACCTCACCCACAGAAACTGTTCCTGCTACGCAATGCTACAATGCAATGAGTAGGCATTAAGTAACCAACCTCCTTCTGCGTGGGCTGTTCAGCAGGTGGTGAAACTTTGGCTGACAGCTTAGGCAAGTTCCGTCTCTTTGCTGCTTTTCTGTTTGATGTGTCAAAAGATACCTGACTGTCATTTTCAAGCACCGCATCTTCACCACCCTGGTCAAAAACAACAGAAAATTTCTAAAGAGATGCTTCCTATCAACTGTATTCGCAATGGTTATTTATTTTATCCTGATGGCATTTCAGTAAAAAATACAATTAAGTCATTATAAGACCCAGAAAATTAAAGCATTCTCTCCTTAGACATGAAAACATGGAGCTTATTAACATCTTGTAGAGACTACCCTTATTTAGCTCTGGTGTTCTGTCTGATAGATACAAGGCTGAGACAGACCTTTCCATTTTAATTAACCCCCAAGGTTTTCAGTAGGATGGAAGAAAGAAACCTGGAAATATCCTTTCCTCCTTTCAGTAAAGGAAGCAAGGCAGTGCAAGGAACTATGCCTTAAAAGGCTGTGAAAGTAGCATGTATATGTAAAAACATGTCTCTGTACATGACCATGCAAAACTCCCATAGCTGAATGTAGCCCTAGTATCTTGTTTTATATAAACATATTTTAGTTCTCAAATTCCAACTTTGAGCTTCCATTGGTATTAATCACTTTAGGAGGCAAAGAATTTTATTCTAGAAATCATAAAGATTATTTTTATTAATATTATCTATTAAAACTTTTCCCTTAGCAAGATAATTCACTTAAGTGTCAAATTTGCAAATGTATACATTTAGTTCACTAATGTCTTTCATCTATATTTACCAACTTTCTAAAAGTTCTCTTTATCAGACTAAAATGGCCACCATTTTCATGGGCAGTTTCCCCCATTCCTTTATCCTAAGAGAAGCTGGTGGAAAGAGAATGGGGAATGGAAGTCAAGAGATCTTGATGCTGAACAATTAACTGACCAAACTTAAGTTGCTTTGCTGCAAATTACAAGGCTGGATCAGCTGACAGACACACTTTCTTTCAGCTCTACATTCCAATTCTCATGTTCTTCGATAGTCCTGAGAGTCTTACATCATAACAACACTGAAGGTCTGCCCATCCATACCCATCCAATTTTTTTTGTCCCTACTAATTAGGCTAAAATATATACTAGTAGTACCATGAAGACAGAACCTAAAAGCGAGATGCAGAATGAATGATTAGTCACACTGTGACTGTTGCAGAAAGAGACACGGCAGGCTAAATTCAGGCTGCCCATGTCTAACACCACACAACTGAACAGAAGGCAAATTCAGCTCAGAAGTGGAATCACCACGTGGAGGGAGCAGGTGCATTTTATGTCGCCTGCCTTTCACATTAACTTTATTACCCACCCTGACTGTGTTACGGCACCTTTACCATTACGCGATGGATGAAACCGATTCTGCTGCACTGGAAGAATCCTGTCGCCTTTACTACGTCATTTCTTTACAAGATGGTGAAAGGTGCAGTATAAACAGAAAGCAAATTGCGTTTGGGGCATAGAAATAATCTTATACATAAAATCAACGGCCAGTTATTCTAAAACTTTATGAGTATCCTTTTTCCTCTGTAAGAAAACAAAACTGTAAACTCCCAGCAGCAAATGACAAAATTCATACTCAAGGCCAAAGGAAAAAAGAGTCAAAGGTTAACTTGGCTTTTCAAAAACAGAGCCAAACAAAATGAACATAATGTGAGCTTATAATTCCTTGGAGATCTTTCTTGAGGAAAAATCTGAATTCCCTCGTATAAAACACAGTGATATAGTCAGCACTTTTCTTAAAGATTACCTTATGTTAGAGCTTTTCAAGGCTCTAAGTTATATGCTCTTAGGCACTTAATGGTTCGACACACAAATATGCTGAATAAAAATTGATATAGTTATTAATAAAGACTTCTAAAAAAGGCTGTATTAATAGTTTAACATCATTTGCAATTAAAATATCAATATATGTAAAATGAAACATAAGTAATAGCAGAATTCAAAATATAAAGTGGAATGTTTTCTAACCCCAAGTTTATGACCATTGCTTAACTTCCAGGTTTCACCCGTCATTCGATAAAAGCGCTCTTCCAGTTTTTTCAATTTCATTTCCTGGTGAGGTTTTAGAACATTCTCTATGTATCTGCTGGCCTGTTCAAAAAAATAATTAGGTGTTGTTACTATACATTAACATTCCTAAGATTTTACTTTGTCTGTAAAGTCGTCAGTAAGAACCAGGTCAGAAATTGTGTTTTCACACTAGGTCAATTTTGCCAAAAAAGCAGCATCTTCCACTTTTGCAACACTCTCTAAAAATATGCATTTGTACATAATACAAATAAAAACAAATGTTCTATACTTATGCTTATATGGCAATCACCTTATATCCTTTAATGTGTTTCTAGTGCAACAAAAATTCACTGAGGGCTGGGGATGCAAAGATGCCTTCTAGGAGCTTAAGGTCAGGGCATTTTGTTCAAGGCATGATGCCCAAGGCATGAACTCATTTGGGAGAATGTTAATTGATAGCTCAATCATGTTAAAGTAGAAACTATTTTTGGACTCAAAAGAAATGGAGAATCGGTTTTAAGATGACAGAGTGAAATTATTTCTGCTTCCCTCTCCACTTGCAAATCATCCCAAAACAACCATGGAAACAATAGAAACCCAAATTCCGTTACTGATGAAACAAAGAAGTATTACAGCCTCCAAACCACGATATGTGAGGGCATATGGAGGAGAGGTAACTGATGTAACAGTGAGAAAGATGCAACCTAAGTGCTTGTAAAGGTGGATAACAATAAGAAGTAAGCCAGTGCACTCCACAGACCTGAAGAGCTCAGGAAGAAGAGACACCGGATACCATGGCAGGGACAGGGAGTGGGGTACAGAGCTGACAACAAGGTGGCAGGCGGAGCCAGGCATCAACAGGTGATAAGTTTGTAATGAACCAAGGATTATTTCAATTTTTTGCATCTGAGATTCTTGGGGAAAGAAAAGATAAAAGAGCTATTAGGTTCCTAGACCCACTACCCTACCACATGTAATGGAAGGCATGGAAGGTTTAATCTCTGGGAATATGAACCAGAGAGGCTGCAGAGTCACAGATGCCAGGCCGAGGGGAGGGCAGGAGTGCAACTAAAAGAGTATGTGAAATGTACCCACTGACAGGTGAGACTCCCCAGCTGCCTTCCCGCCTGCTGGTAGCCAGGCATTAACCCCACCACCCCCACCACCAGGGTGGAAAAACGGAGGCACCTTCTCTGGTTAAGGTGAACTGCAAGAGGAACAGAGATGCTGACAAAGCTAAATTACTCCTCAATCACCCTACCATTAAATTGGTGTACTTCCTACACCAGCAAACAACATGGCAAGCTCTGGTCACACACAGAAATTCTAACTAGCTTTATTTTCCTTTTCGTTTTTCCACTGAAGTATAACTTATAAACAGTAAAAAACACCAAGCCTGATGAGATTTTATAAATGCATACACCATCAATTAGCTTCTTAGTGCATCATTCTTAAATCTGAAGGGACAGAGACAAGGATTGCCAGATGATTAAGGAAAGCCTCCAACATGAAAAATGGAGACTAAATTAGCAAACAGAAAAAAAAGGAACTGATAACCACATTGAAATTTCAATGAGGATAATGGTACAATACTTCAAAATACTAACAATTTTCAACCTGTAAGTCTATACCAAATCAAACAACCAAGTGTCACAAGAGAAAAAAATCACCCCCTTAGAACAGAAAGACTCAAAAATGCCATGTATCAGCAGGCACATGTCTGCACAGTCTGGGCACCTCACCATGCACGCGGACTACACTGTGAGGTCCTGCCTTATTAATTTTACTTCGTCCAAAGACAGAAGACACAGGGTTAAAGTTTTTAGACTCTTGCCAAACAAAGGAATACCAAATTTATATACCCTTAGGAATTACTGATGCCAATTATTATAAAATTGGCATATAGATGGAATTATAGTTTACTAATAAGCATGCAAGGCTTTAAAATTAAGTTACTTCCACAGGGGATAACATTAAACTTTAGAATTCAAATATTTACAAAAGAGCTAACAAAAGATCTTGCAAGGACACTTTTGTTGTTACTAAATTCAATTCAGGGTAATTACAAATGTGGTAATACCCTCCCACACACACCCTCTAACCAATATTTAGGCTTTTACTCTTGTGATTTGTTTTCAGCCTTCATTTGTTTACTTAATAGGGAATAATTTGTTCAACAGAGAAACAAGTGCTAGATGTCAAACCATTAATGCCCTTGTACCTAGGCCTTTGTAAACGGTTTATGTTTTTAATATTTAGGTGAAAGTGCGCAGCAATCTCCTCTCTCACAAAGGTCAGTCATCAATCTGGCAATTGCCCAAATGCTACCTGACAGTTCAAGGTCAAGAAAATAACTGTTATCCCTGGCCGGGTAGCTCAGTTGTTTAGTGTCATCCTGATACACCAAGGTTGCGGGCTTGAACCCTGGTCAGGGCACATACAAGAATCAACCAACTAATGCATAAATAAGTGGAACAACAAATCGATGGGTGTCTCTCTCTCTCTCTCCCCCTCCATTCCTCTTTCTCTAAAACCAATTTTTAAAAAGGAAAAAAAAATAACTGTTAGATAATCGTCCATGGTAAAAGCAATTCCTAGTTATCAAAACCAATCTTGAATAGAATGCAGCAAAAGCAGTGCTAAGAGGGAAAGTTATAGCTATAAACATCTAATTAAAGAAGAAGAAAGATCCCAAATCAGTAAATTAGCTCTACACTTTAAAAAACTAGAAAATGAACAAACTAAACCCAAAGTTAGGATAAGGAAGCAAATAATAAAGATTACAGAAGAGATAAAAACATGCAGAATAGAAAACAATAAAACCAATGAAACCAAAAAATGGGTTATTTGAGAAGATTAATAAAATTGACAAACCCTTAACTTGACTAAGAAAAAAGACAAATAACATCAAAACTGAATATAGGGATATTACTACCAGCCTTATAGAAATAAAAAATATTAGAGAATACTTAAGATAACCAAGATGAAATGACAAATTCCTAGAAATATACAAATTACCAAAACTGACTCAAGAAGAAATAGGACTGACCTAACAAGAGATTGAATCAGTAATTAAACCCACCAAAGAAAACTCCAGGACCAGATGGACTCACTGGTGAATTCTATTGAAACTTTAAAGAAGAGTTAATACTAGCAGCACTACTCATAATTGCCAAAAGGTGGAAACAACCTAAATGTCCATCAGCAAATGAATGGATAATCAAAATTTGATAGTTCCATGCAATCGAATATTACTCAGCCATAAAAAAGGAATGAAGTACTGATACATGCTATATGGATGAACCCTGGAAAATATTATGCTAAGTGAAAAAAGCCAGACACAAAAGGTCATGTTATATGATTTCATTTATATGAAATATCCAGACTGGATAAATCCATACAAACAGAAAGCAGATTGGTGGTTACCGGAGGGGGGAATGAGGAAGTAACTGTTTAATGGGTATGGGGGTTTTTTGTTGTTGTTTTTTATACTTATCATGCCATGAATTCATAGGGAATGGTTCCAGCAGCACAGGCTCATTTCCATAGGTTCTCACAAAGTGTGCTGCTCTGAACGGAGCAGGCTGACACTTCAGAGGAACCCAGGTACCTTGCTCTTCGGCTTCCTTCCTTTTCTGATCATTTTCCTTCCCATGTTTCAGGAAGCTATCTAGGCTCTTACAGTGCTTACTATGCTCAATACATACATTAATTCTCTTGGAAAGAATTTTGTCCTTGTTTGTTTACAACAGTGCCCACTACCTGGTGGGTGACACTGTAGACTCTTCCAGTTTGCCAGGGAAACATTTGTGGGGCATTCTGAACAATGCCCATTCCCTTGATTTCTACAATATCACCTTTCTTGTAGATTCACATGTATTCTGCCAGAGGAGCAACTCCAACTGTTCTAAAAGGCCTTGAGCCTTGCCCGTCCAGCATGGCTTAGTGGTTGAGTGTCAACCTAAGAACCAGGAGGTCATGGTTCGATTCCCAGTCAGGGCACATGCCCAGGTTTTGGGCTCAGTCCCCAGTAGGGAGCATGTAGGAGGCAGCCGATCAATGACTCTCTCTCATCATTGATGTTTCTATCTCCCCCTCTCTCTTCCTCTCTCTGAAATAAATTTTTAAAAATATAAATAAATAAACAAACAAATAAATAAATGAATGGCCTTGAACCTTGAGAACATATAGTGGGTACCTCTCTTCCTTCCTTTGTGTTAGTCATTTTGGTGAATTAACTGGAAGATGGCAGTTCCAGCTGAAAGGTGGGGTTCTTCTGAGGTGAAGAAGCTGTTTTAGAACTAGGTAGAGATAGGGGTTGCACAACATTGTGACTGTTATGCTACTGAATTGTACACTTCAAAATGGTTAATTTTATATCATGTGAATTTGACCTCAATAATAAAAAAAAGTCTGAGCATAAACACAGAAAGCAACAGACCTAAATTTTAAATGCCCCAGCTATTTTTGTGTTCTTTCAAGATATATTCGCTAAAAGTTATGCTTTACCTTTTCACCTTGTGCCTCTTGTTGTTTTTTTCTCACAAGTTTTTGCCTTTGCTCATTCTTCTCTTCTTCTTCTAAGACATCAAAACATAAGTGTTTTTTAATTCCCAAGTATCAATAAGTTGAATGTTATTTTCTCTGAAAATAGTCTGTAGATCTTAACAGTTTTTGAGAGACAAGCCTTCAAAACGCAGATATTTTTGAAATAATGAAAATGAGAGCCTGGCCGGGCATGGCTCAGCGGTTAAGCATCGACCTGGGATCCAGGCAATCAGGGTTTGATTCCCGGTCAGGGCACATGCCCGGTTGTGGGCTTGACCGATGACTCTCTCATCGATGTTTCTATCTCTCTCTCTCCCTCTCCTTTCCTCCCTCTGAAATCAATAAAGATATATTTTTAAAAGAAAAAAAGAAAATGAGATACATGCAGTTGAAACTAAGAAATCTGCAAGTAAAATCAGTAAGAAAAGGTCTGTTCTGAAACAAAAATTATAACATATATTAATAGTATATGGTATAGTTTCGGTGAGGAAGCTTCAAGAATGCTTATGATGGGCTGTGACAGCAGGAAAGAAAGTGTGTGAGCAGGCTGATTTTTTACTGATTTAAGAAAATCTGATAACTAGGTCCTATGCAGTTTCATCCTTCAGTAATGATTATGTTTCAAAATTGTCAACCAAAAATGTACCAAAATGCCTTGCACTCCACACAACATAAAGGTACAACTTAAGGAAAGACACTGTCAGGTGCATGTTTCCCTTATTTATAAGACAGAATACTTGACCCGATATTTAATATATGCAGCAAATATCCTCTAGATATAAAAATATGTTTAATACACAGTTGCTTAGAAAAGCTACAGTGAGTTATTTCAATTTTCCAATAGAGGAATTTGGAATATAAGAGATCAAACATTTTATCAAAAGAAGAAAGAAAAATTTCCAAAATCTATGGTTGGGAGACGCTGAAATATGCACATTATCTGTTATGTTTGAGTTGAATCATGTAAACTTTTCGGATTATGGTTTTATTCAGTTATCTGAAAGGGCTATAAATTAAACACTGATCACTTTCCTTTTCTATTTATTTACATTTACATAAACAGCAAAACAAAACATAATGCCCCAAATTCACTATCGGCAAACTTCTCTCTAATAGGCTATAAGAATATAGGCATAAGTTTTAGGATTCATCTGTTCTGAGGCAAACTACAATATTGTTTTAAAAGGCTTTTAGTACTGCCTCAGAAGGATTTTGTATCACACAAGGAAACGCCTTGAGAAAGATGGACTTGCTGGTGGCACATGAATGTCCCATGCTGCCAGAGCCACAGGTGGTGCTCATCTTTAACAAACTCTCAAACGCCTTGTGTAGGGTGGCTGACTTGTCTGATTTTGTGAAAGTTGCACACCCTGAGCCAGCATTCAGAGAGGTGGCAGAAGCTTGTAGAAGTATTGGTACCATGGTAGAAATGAACACATATGTGGAATTATATCAAAGTCTGCAAAAATTACTAGCTGATAAAAGGCTTCTTCTAATACTCTTTTCACTTGTCCAAAAAAAAAATTAAGAACAAGCATTTTTTGTTTGTTTGTTTCCTAAAATTAAGAGCACCTAACTATATATATATATAAGTGCGTAAATAAAAAATGCAGGAATGGAATGAAAAATAACTTAGGATGCAAAGCCTTTAGAGATTAATGGTAGATATAGTTAACATTTGCAGAACAGTTTGTAAACTGTACTTACCAAGCAGCAGTTAAGCTGCACAAACACACAATTTAAAGTGAGAATTTGCAGTGTACCAAGTTAAAAGTTATAGTTTCAAATGTATATATAAGGAAAATGTATTTCTCATAAAAATGTTGGGATTTGTGATCCATTAAAAATCTTGCCTAAAGTTGTAATGATTACCTTAATGGTTCTTATTGTGCAAAGTTCTAGTATATATAAAGGAAACAGATTTCAGTAAAAAAGTAGAAAAGTAGAAAAGGGTAAACAATAAACTTACCTTTCAGATAAACTTGAGAAGATTTAAATGAGTTAAGCCATGAGGTTGTCACAGAAATAATCAAAGTAAGAACAGCAAGCAGTAAGAAAATCCGGCCACACAGCAAAATTATATCTTTAATTCCTTATAAAGGTAAAAAAAATCAAAATTAAAAAACTTTTTTTGATACTAATAAATAATACATATTAGAAGATTTGTACTAGAAAAATGCAGCAAAAGTTCATATAGTCTCCTTTAGGCACCAAAATTCATCATAGTTGTCAATACCAGAACAAGTTTTCAGAAAACAATTCCAGAACATTTTTCTTCCCAGGAGTAGAGGTATAATTCAAGTGACTGTCTACGTTATAAATATTATGACTGTCAGTAATGCATAAATTCTGGTTTCCCTTCTGCCCAAAGGAGGAGATAAAATTATCCACATATTTAGGAATTAAATGATGGTGATGGTATCATCTTTTCAAATTCTAGTTCTATTTTAAAAAGTCATTCACACATACATACACACACACATACACACATGCACAAGTTATTCACACTGAAACACCACTTATTTCTCACAATTAAATTATGAAACTATGTACTTCCTCTTTAATTCAGTCATGTGTAAATAAAATTACTACATACGTTTGCCTAGAAAAAAATTCAGTATTTGGTTGTACATATTATTTTAAGAACCAAGATGAAAATTAAATCAGCAAAAATGTAACAAGTGCCTGCTTTGTGTAATATAATTTACTAAATGGTAAAGGGTGAAGATATAAAGTTGGGTTAAAAATGGTTTCTGCTCCCCAGGAATTTTTAGTTTTGTTTTATAAGTCTCAAATATTACTAGGCAGAGGTACAGAGGAACCATCTTACTAATATGATGAGGCCAGTAGTTAGTGAATTAACTAAAAATTAAAGAAGGAATTATAGTCCGCTGGTGTGGTTCAGTGGTTAGAGAGTCGAGGGTTCGATTCTCAGTCAAGGGCCTGTACCTGGGTTTTGGGTTCACTCCCCACCCCTAGTAAGGGGGCATGTGGGAGGCAACCAGTCAATGTGTCTCTCTCATATCAATGTTTCTCTCTCCCTCTCTCCCCCCTCCCTCCCTTTCACTCTCTCTGCAAAGCAATGGAAAAAATATCCTCAGGTGAAGATTAACCAAAAAAAGAAGGAATTATATATGCAGAGAGATATATATTTATAATTTTTGCATTACAGCCCCTTCGACTTTTGCCAGCATTAACTATCAATTCAGGTATTGCTCAATCCAAGTAAATCTGGGGTAACTGGCCATTACAAAAGTAATTTAATGCTAGAGTAATTCTGTTTAAAGAAACCACTCAGTTATGGGATTTATGTTCCATAATATTGCTTTTTGTTCTACCAACCAAGCAATTTGCAGATATTATATGGGAACAGAAAAGAACTAATTGGTGTGTACACCTTTCAGGTAAAAAAAATTTTTAATTAAGTTGATTTTTTCTGTATCTACTCTCAAGAGCCCATGTACAGAGCACTTCAACGGATAACAAATGTGAGGAGCCAGCATTAAAATATTTAGCTTCAGTACAAGTAAAAATGTATTGGCAATAAAGGCTTTTACACAGTAGAAAAAGACAGGGATCATTTTTCAGGGTATATCCAAAAATACAGCCCAGATGAATGAAAAGGTCTGGGAATTCCATTTTCCCACCTGGAAATTCAATTAGCAGCTCCAGCTAAGAGTATTAGTATCTCTAAGTACTTTCCACCCATAACTAGCCCTGCAGCTGCTACACTGGGATGTATGATTGGTAAAACAGACTTAAATATTGTCTGTGGGTAATTGCAGAACCAATATCAAGAAACCAAAGTAAAAGACCATCATTTCACAACTTGAAAAAGGATTATAGGAAAAAGAAGTTAATTAAATGAAAAAGGAACTAGATGGAGATGCTGTCAGGAACCCAGCTGCAATTTCTAGAATTTTTGGGCGTACTTTTATTAATTTAGACATTGTGATAAGTGCTGGGAATACAAAAACAAATTAGGTCTCTGCCCTCAAGAAGTGTATTTCCCTGTGGTCAGAGGTGATGGTGTGAATCTATCTCCTTCTGCAACCTCAGTAACCACCTTCTCATTGACTAGCGAGCAACTCAAACATCAGTGCAAAGAAGATTCCAAATGGGCAGAGCAGAGGTGGATGCCATAGAGGCAAAGGAGCAAAGTGAATTCTGTAATAGCTAAGTGTGAACTTAACATTTCTACATATCATTTGGATAAAGGTCTTCTTAGATTCCAATATATCTTTTGATACCTTTTTTTTTATTATATCTTTATTGATTTCATAGAGAGGGAGAGGGGGAGAGAGAGACACATCAGTGATCAGAGAGTCATTCATCAGCCGCCTCCTGCAAGCCCCGGTCTGAGGATCGAACGGGCAACCAGGGCATGTGTCCTGACCAGGAATCCAACCCTGGTCTCCTGGATCCTAGGTCGATGCTCAACCTCTGAGCCACGCCGGGCCAGTCCCAATACATCTTGAGTTGAATCAGGCTCCTAGAGGGTCTTTGTAAAAATTTTTTAAAGTATTTTAATTTATTTCAAGCAACATTTCTGGGTACCTGACTACTTAGGGGTGGCTGAGGGATGGTGGAAAGATAGGAAATATTAAAGCTCAGTTTCATCCTGGTATCTAACTTTAGAACTACGTTTAATGAGGGAGATATATAAACTGATCCCTTATATGTCCAAAAATGAACTGATGCTCCACAGGTCCATTTTCCTTTCAGTGTTCCCTTCATTGTTGGCACTACCAACACCTAGGAGGGAGCCTTTCCCTCATCCCAAACAATCCATCAACAATCCTGTTGGTTGTACTCTGTAAATACCCCAAATCTGTGCCCATTTCATCTGTTACCATCCTCGTGCCGGCCATCACTACTTGCCTACTTCCGAAACCTATGGTGCCCCACTGCCTCCACTGTAGCTCCTTCCTCAAGTCTCCACACTAAATCCAGTGACCTTTATAAAACCCTAAGCTACTTAATTAACTCCCTGTATCTCAGTTTCCTCACTGTAAATGGGGATTATAACAGTACCCAGATTAGATAGTGAATAAAGAGCATTTAATGTTAGGCTTATAATAGGTGCCTGATGAATGCATCTTCGACCACTCTCCCCCCTCATCTCCCCCGCCCGGCCACAGTGATCTTCATCCGTTTCCTCCAACACGTCACAATTCTTTTTTGTCTGGAATGTTTTTGCCCTAACTTTTCAAAGCGGTGGCTCCTCCCCATTCAAATCTCTCTAGATTCCTGAGAAGGCCTACATCACGTCACCCCGTTTATTTCCTTTGGTGCATTCGACACAACTTGAAAGCAGTGTGTATATCCCTGTGCTTTCTGCGTCCGTCTTCTTACACGCAAAACTTCACCAGATCGGCAGGGACATTTTTCCGCCAAGCGGAGTCGGCCTCCCCAGGCGACAGAAGACTGGCTCCCCGAGGACCCGGCGCCGGAAGCGGGACGCGGGCGCGATGCAGCCTGGGAGTCGTAGTCGACGCCGGGACTTCTACGTCACACTCGTAGGAAAGCTACCCGGTGTGCGCCCGGAGGGAAACGCTAACACTTACCTAGGTCCGGGATCCCACGCCGCAGCTCCAGACACAAGAGAGGGAGCGCGGAGAGGAGGAAGATGCCCACGACCCCACGGGCGGCCATGGTGGCGCGAGGCCCTCCCCTTCCGGTTCCGCCTCCCCGGGGAAGGCGGAGAGGAACCGTCCCCTAAGGGGGCGGACTTGGGAGAGGGCGAGATCCTAGAGCCCGCTCGTGCGCAGACTGAGGGGATTCCCAGTTTGTAGCTTCGTCAACTCCCGGCCTGTAGCTTTATATCAGAAGAAATACGGGTCAGCTCCCCACGTCACGTGGTGTCCGGAG